ATCCCCCTATACCATGTGCGGCCACTCACTTCCTACCCAACCAGTGAGGACCCTGCCTCAGTTTCCCCATGAGGACACAACAACCACCAGCAACACCCCCCTGCACCTCCAACCTCCCTCCTCCTCCCCATTGCTTTCTGCCTCGCTTTCCCGTTTCCCTGCCTATTGTCCATGCCCTCTCCCACTGCGGTGCACCAGGACCGGTGCTCCCAGTGCTCCCAGTGCTCCCAGTTCTCCCAGTGCTCCCGGTGCCGGGTCGTGCCACACCGGCTCTGTGCCTTTAAGCGCGGCACCGCGGCTGTCCCGGATCAGCCCGAGCGCCTATTAAAATTTTATGCGAAGTGTAAATGGGCCAAGTCTCCAGCTTCCCGCTCCCTCCGAATGATTTATTACTCGCAAATACCACAGAACTAATTAGTATAGTAATTAATTAATACGAATTTGCATATTTGCATGTGCAATTAGTGCAGTGGAGTGATTACTCTGAAAATGAGAAGTTGGGCTTGTCAGATGGTAGTGTGAACTGGAGTGGAAAAGCCTCGTGCAAATGAACCTGGGTGGCGATGGTGGCGATGCTGGTGACGGTGGGCACGCGGCGGCACGCGGTGGCTGCGGCCCCGGGAGGGTGCGAGGCCCCACACATGGGGGGGCTCAGCCCCAGGGACCCCCATCAGCCCTGGCCTGGCCCTGGTCCCCACCATAGGGACCAGCTCCATCCCTCGGCCATCTCCATGGCGACTCGCTGTGCCAGGCGCATCGCCATGGCAACGGGCTGGGCCATGCATCCTCGCCATGGCGACTGTCGTCATTGGCGCCCTGTCACCATGGAGACTCCCCCCTCCTGCTCCCCAAATCCACACCGTGCCCCTCTTTCCCCATCGGTGGCACAGGGTGCTGATGAGAGCCAAAGTCACACAGGATGCGGGATGGGGGTCCACAATATCCCCAAGGATGGGAGGCCTCAGAGCACCCTGAAATAGGGGCAAGGACCCCAGGGTGCTGGGTGATGAGGGTCCCCCATTGCCATGGGGCTGGCAGAACAAACTGAGCCCTACGCTGAGCCCCACACCGAGCCCCACAATGGCAGCACCAGGCTGGATCAGGTCCCCAGGACCAGTGGCCCAAGGCCTGCTCAGGATGGGGGTCCAGCACCCCACAATCTGAACCCTGCGCTTCGCCTTTGTCACTGGTGCCACTCCAGCAGCCCCTCACCCGTGGCCTCGTGCCCACCTGCCCTGCTGAGGCCTGACGCCACTCAATGCATCCCTGCGAGGGTTTGGGGACACCAGCACAGAGGGGTTGGGGGGGGGTCAATGGAGGCAGCCCCCACCACCGATCCCACCGCATCCCCCCCATCACATCCCCCCTGCAATGTGCCATCTGCCGCGGGGGGGGCAGTGCCAGTCGTGCTCCTTCAGTCACACCGTGCCCACGCCGGCGGCACCGGGGGGGTGTAAGCCCACCCCTGCTCCCCCATTGACCCGGCCTGTGCTTAAATAGGGAGGGGATCCTGGGGCCTTGTGACGTCACAGAGCAGCAGTTGTGATGTCATAACCCTCTGTGACCTCACCATTGTGGCCTTGTTACCTCACCAGCAGCCAGTTCTGATGGTGGCACAATGGTGACCTCGCCCCCCCCCCCCAATTCCAGCCCCTCCATTGTCCCCAGTGAGCACCTGACCCTGGCAGGGCGACCCCCGGGTGATGAAGGAGGATGCACAAGTCCCCTGGGGCCATCCCTGTGCCCTCCCCAGGCCCCTCCATCCCCAGCCCCAAGCTGGAGCCCGGTGGGCGATGGCTCCAGTGGTTTCCCACTGAACAATTCCCCATCTAACGTGCCTTAAAGCCCCGCTTGGCCAGGCCTTGGTTCTATGGGCAGGCAGTGAGCACGGCTCTGCCCCTTCCCCTCCCTCTGTGCCTCAGTTTCCCTCCACCACCAACCTTCCCCCTGCCAGCATCCCCATCCCACCCATGACCTTCCTGCTCCCTATTGAAAGGCCCTTTAGGGACCAGCACAACCCCATCCCCATCCCATAGAGACCCCCAACCACACCTGGACCCTTGCTCACCAGGGATGAGTCCTATTGGGGGGTGTGGGGGGTGTGGGTGGGTGTTGATGCTCCATGGACAGGGATGGGGACGGCCTCAGCTCCCGCTCCGTTCCCGGCGCTGGCTCCGCCGCACGTTCTCGCATCCATCTCTCCCCAGCTTTCACCTCCCAGAAATATTGCAGCGCGGAGCCGGCTCCATCTGGCACCGCGGCCCCCGCCTCCCCCCCCTTACCCCCCTACACCCCCCCCCGCAACCGCTCGCACCGCACTCGGGCCCTGCGGGGAGGGGGAGAACGGGGACCGCACGGTGCGGGTTGGGGGGGAACGGGATGGGATGGGACCGGGCTCTGCGCTCACCCCGGGGATGTGGCCCCAATGCGGGGTCTCTGGTACCCAGTGGGGTCCCAGCACCCTGCTCCCGCACTGTGTCCGTCCGGATGCTGCGTGTCCCCCTCCCACCCCGGCACCCACTTCCCGCACTGTGTCCGTCCGGATGCTGCGGGGCACCCACCTCCTGCATGGAGCTGTCAGTGGTGTTCCAGGCAGGATCCCCATCCCCATCCGTCCATCGCCTTCCTGCTGGAGGGAGGGGAAGGAGCACGGAGGATGAGTTTTGGAGGACGGAAAGAGCTTCCCGCACCAGCCAAACGCCGGGCAGCGAGACCCAGGGGACCCAGAGGCGGCAGCGCCGGGAACACCGGCTCCTGGACATGGAAACCAGCAGCAGGATGGGGACCAGAGCCCCAGGGTCACCCAGCCCCGACCTCCTGGAGCAGGAGGAACCCTCCCCTGCACCCAAAGCATCAGCCTCCACCCCTGCTGAACTCATCCTGGGTTCACCCCAACCTCACCACCCCATTGAAATGGGACCCCCATTCCTCACCCGGGGTGAACCCGCCTCCCAAAAGCACCCAGACACCAGGATGGGGCTGGTGCCATCACCAGCCACGGTGGAGGGGATGGCACAGGGATGGCGCCGAGCCCCCTGCTCCTGCCCACCCCGCGGGCTGGGTCCCGGCACAAGGCTCTGGTTTGGGTTTCCATCTTCCGCTCCCTTTTCATCTCCCCTCCCTGTTTCATGTCTCCACTTTCTTCTCCCTCCAAGCGCTGTGAATGCTGATGAGCCTCACGCCGGCGCCCACCCTCACCGCTCCCTGGCTGCTCATTAGGCTGGAATGGATGCACTGGGCCAAGGGGTTGTGGCTTCCCCCTGTCCCCATCCCTGTCCTCATCCCTGTCCCCATCCCTCTCCCCACACAGCCCAGTGCAGGCATCTCCTCAGCCTGGGGCAGCCCCATGTACCAGGAACCATGGCACCATCAGCTTCACTGCCCTGATGCCGGGGTGCAGCCCTGCCAGGGGGAGCCGAGGGCAGCGTGATAGGGACTTACCCAGACTGGTACCCATCACTGGTGGGCTCCTGGGCCACGGCAATGGGCACCCGGTGGCCAAATGACGATGACAACAACAGTGGGAGGTGATCAGGGCTGCTCAGCGCAGGGAGGGTGCCCAGGTTTTGGTACCCTGGCACTGCACCGGCACCGGCACCGGCACCGGCACCGGCATGGCTGGGGTGGGCTCTGCCTCCCCGCAGGCCGGCTCCAGCTCCGGTGCCATCTGCTCGGCCGCAGCCGTGAGTGACAGTCGGAGGGTTCGGGGGGGACGCCGGTGGAGGCCCCTCTGTCACGTGCCAGCACCGGCACCTGCACTGGGGGAGTGGGTGATGCCGATGCCGCTGGCACAGACCCGGCACCGGCAGCCCTTTGTCTGCGTGTGGGCACGGCCCTGGATGCCACCGACACCACGGGCACCGTGACCACGCCATGGCTGTGCCATCCTCGCCTGCGGTGCATGGCCAGCACGTGCCATGTGGCACCCAGTGCCCTGGGTCCTGCATCCTTGGGCTTATGGGGACAGGGGGATCCAGGACACGGGGACATCCCGCAGCCAGGAGCAGGGCACTGGGTGATGGGGTCCAGCTCTCAGGGACACAACACACCCATAAGGGGTTCCTTGGCCCCGGTGCTGCGCACCAATATGGCAGCAGTGATTTCTGGTTGCACAAACACCGTGGTGGGGACAGACTGGGAGGCTGGGGGGTGACACGGCCCTGCCAGGCTGGTGAGGAGGCCCCCAGCACACAAAGGCCTCGCTGGTTGCACCGTGGCATGGTCAGGCCTCCACCATGGCCACGGCGAGACCTGTGTCAATGGGGGGCATGGGCACCGCGTGCATTGGGGGGGCCGTGCTTGTGCTTGTGCAAGGGTGTGCACATGTGCATGTGTTTGTGTGTGCATGGAGGAGCGTGATGAAGGTCTGTGCACGCCGGGTTGTGCCGTGGGGCTGCAGGGAGAGGCTGGCACGACCATGCGGCCGAGGGGATGCTGAGCAGCAGGCAGAGGCCGTGTGCCACCTTCATGGTGACCCATAGCCCTGCACTCACCAGCGCTGCCCACACCCGCACCCTCAACCCCTTTCCCGCACCGCACCGGGCACCGCCACCATCACCACATCCCCATCCACAGCCCCCTGCCCGCACCAGGCCCTCACCACCGCAGCCATCCCCGGCTCGGCTGGTGGCTGAGGGTGGGGATGGAGCCGCAGATGCCAGCTCCCACCGAGGGTCCCCACGGCGGCTCCCCCCTCGCCCCGGTGCCCGCCGGCTGCCCCCGACACGCTCGGGATAGCCGGTTTCCCCACCGCCCTGGTGCTGGCTCCATTGTTCCTGCCGGCCCCGCCATCGCCTGCATCTCGCCCGGGTCCCATTTTGCGGCGTGTAGGCAGAGCTGGAGATTTGGAAAAGGTTTTTTTTTTATTCTTTTTTTTCCTTTTTTTTTTTTCTTTTCCCTTTTCCCTGGGTTTTTTTTTTTTTTTGGAGTACAGAGTGACAGATGGCGAGTCCTCCTTCCCCAGAGAGACAAATCTCCCTGAATGCAAGCGCATGTCAATCATTAGCTCTCATGTGATAGCTCTCGCGCATGACGTGCCAACCATATGGCACTGGCAGCAGAGCTGGTACCCCCTTTGCTGGGTAGAGATGCCACTCTCGCCTCCTTTTGGATAGAGGACTGCAGGAGGCTGGAGCACCTCAAGGAGCCGCGTCCCGGTCCCAGAAGATGCTGGGAACAATGAAATAAGAATTCCTGCGGTCCGCCCGAAGGTGAGTTATGTAAAGAAGTGGAGGGCTGGGAGGGCAGCGGAGGAAACTTGAATGGAGAAAAGGCAACTTCCATGTTGATTTGGTTTCTCCGCCGCGTCTCGCCCTTTTTTCACCCGGCTTTCGTTCTCCCCCGGCCCTCGCTTCTCCCGTTCCCCGCCGATGGGGTTTTCCCTCTCCCCCCGGAGCGACCCCCCCACCCCGTCCTTAGGGAGGGGTTGTTGGGGTTTGGGGTTCACCGCACCCCCCCCCCCGGCTTTCCCCCCCCTCCCCACCCGCGGCTGGGCGCGCCCGGGGCGGCGCGGTCCCGGCGGGACGGAGCGGGCAGCGTTGGCCGAGCGGCATCAACGAAATCAGCGCGGAGCCGCCTCGCCGCCGCCCCCGGGGGCCCGGACCCAGCCGAGCCCCCCCCCCCGCTCCCCCGCGGAGCCTCCGGCCCCCGCCCCGGGCGGTGCCCACCTCCCCCCCCCCCGCCTTCCCCGCCCCGGCCGGCACCGGGGGCGGCCCCGGTAGCGCCGCCGCCCGGGACCCCCCGCGCTGCCCCCGGGAGGAGGGGGGGGGATTCGGCCGCCGCCGCCCCCGCCGCCCCCCGCCGGTTGATGCCGCCGCATTTCCCGGGCCGCGCTCCGGTGGCCGGGGGAGCCCCGGGGATATGGGGGGGCCCGGGTGGGGCTGACGGGGCTGGAAGGGGGGGCAATGGGGAGGGGAGGGGGGGGCGGCAGCGGCCGTGCCTCGACCCCCGCCCCGGCCCCGGGACGTCGGTGCCGGAGCCGCGGCTGAGGCCGCTCCGCGCCTGCGGCGGGGAAAAGTTGGAGGCGTCAAAGAGGGGCCGGTGACACCGGACCCGGCCCGCGGGGCACCGGGGCGAGGTGCGGGGGGGGGGCACCGACAGGGTCGAGGCCGGGTGGGGACCGCCGCGGCGGGCGCGGGAGCGGGGCAGCCGGGCGGCGGCCGAGGGGACAACGGAGGAGGGGGCAAGCGGTGTCGGGGGGGGGGGGACACACCGCATCGCCGCGCCCCGAGGGAGCCCCGGTGCCCCCGGTGCGGGTCGGCCGGTGCGGGAGGCGGCGGCGGGCGGCCCCGCGCTTCATTCGTTATCGGCGGCCGGGGAGCGGCGGGGATGGGGATGGGTTGGGGGGGGGCGGGTGGGGGGGGCCGGGTGGGGGGCGGCGGGCAGCCGGTAACGCCTGGCTCTTTGCCCCCCGTTGCAGCCACGATGTTGACGCGACTTTTCAGCGAGCCCAGCCTGGTCCCCGAGGTCCCGAAATTCGGCGGCTGGGCCGAGGAGTGCGAGGACGATGCCCGCAGCGAGAAGGAGGAGCGGGCGGGGAAGGGCTGCGCCCTCCCCGAGGAGCCGCCCGAGGGGGAGAGCAAGGAGGAAGGGGAGCTAGGCGGGGACGAGGAGGAGGAGGAGGAGGAGGAGGAAGGTTTGGAGGAGGCGGAGGGCGAGCGGCCCAAGAAACGCGGCCCCAAGAAGCGCAAGATGACCAAGGCGCGTCTGGAACGCTCCAAGCTGCGGCGGCAGAAGGCGAACGCTCGGGAGCGGAACCGAATGCACGACCTGAACGCGGCCCTGGACAACCTGCGGAAGGTTGTGCCCTGCTACTCCAAAACCCAAAAGCTCTCCAAAATCGAGACCCTCCGCTTAGCCAAGAACTACATCTGGGCTCTGTCTGAGATCCTTCGCTCGGGCAAACGGCCCGACCTGGTCTCCTACGTGCAGACTCTGTGCAAGGGGCTCTCGCAACCCACCACCAACCTGGTGGCCGGGTGCTTGCAGCTCAATTCCCGCAACTTCCTAACGGAGCAGGGCCCCGAGGGCGGCCGGTTCCACGGCCCCAGCGCCTCCTTCGCCGTGCACCCTTACCCTTACCCTTGCTCGCGGCTGGCCGCGGCGCAGTGCCCGCCCGCCGCCGGTCCCGGTGCCCACGGGCTGCGGACACACGGCTACTGCGCCTCCGCCTATGAGAGCCTCTACGGGAACGCGTCCCCCGACTACAACAGCTCGGAGTACGACGGCGGGCTCAGCCCCCCGCTCTGCATCAACGGCAACTTCTCCCTCAAGCAGGACTCTTCCTCCCCCGACCACGAGAAAAGCTATCACTACTCTATGCACTACTCGGCGCTGCCCGGCTCCCGGCCCGCCGGCCACAACCTGGTCTTCGGCTCCACGGGGGTACGCGGGGGGGTCCACTCCGAGAACATCTTCCCCTACGACATGCACCTCCCGCATGAGCGGGGCCCCATGTACGAGGAGCTCAACGCCTTCTTCCACAACTGACCCCCCCCCTCCGGTGATAGCGGGGAACCAACCCCCCCCCACCCCGGAATGATTTTGGGGGGGTGGGGGTAGGAGGCACCGGCGGCGGCCCCCTCGGAGCGGTCCCCGGGGCTCCGCCGTGGGCTTTGGTGCAATACGGGGACCGGAACCCCGCGCCCCGCGGGGACAAAGTGCTTTTTTGGGAGGATTTCCCCTTTTCCTTCTATTCTTGCTCTTATTTACCCGTTAGTTACATGATCAGTGTTATTTATTGAGTCAAACTACCACTAGCCAGTCAGTTCAGTAATTATTGAGTTAGTGAGCGACTTCTTTATTCAGGTAAATCCTTTTTTGTTTCAAGAATTCAGTTCAGTTATTATTTATTACGTTAAATTCTTACTTATTAAGTTAATGAATTAATAAGTTCAATTATTATTTCTTCGGTTAAATTATTATTCTTTCACTCGAAGAATTATTTATTTGCTTAAATTGCTATTTATTTGGTCATATTATGATTTACTTAATTTATTATTTATGTAGTTAAACGATTACATTTATTATTATTATTATTATTATTATTATTATTATTATTAATTTCCCGGGGGGGAGGCGCCCAGCGCGGCCTCGGCCTCCCCCGTTCACCCCCCGGAGCCCCCCCGGGCTCCCCCCTTCGGCCCTTTGGCTCGAGCCGCGTCGTTTCCTTCTGAATTCGTTTTCATTTCATTTGAGCTCGATATTTTTCCTCCCTTTTCCCCCTCATTTTGGGCCGTTTTCCCCCTCCCTCCTCCACTGCCGCCACCCCAAACCCCTTAAAACACAACCCACACCCCCCCCCCCCCCGGTATTGGACACCCGCGGGAGCGAGAGGAGCCGCGCTGCGGCGCGGAGCGCAACTTTCCGAAGCAATAAAGAGGCGAAGGGAGGAACCCACATTTCTATCTATGCAAGCGGGCCCGGCCCGGCGGACGCTCAGAGATGCACTTTGCTTTGGGGGGCCCCGGCCCCGCTCCCCACCCCGGGAGCTCCTCTCGCAGCGCGTGTGTCAGGACGTTTTCTACCTGTTTTCAGAAACTTGAAACGGAAAAAGACAAAAAAAAAAGGAAAAAAAAACCTAAAAAAAAAAGGAAAAGACAAAAAAAAGGAAAAAAAAAAGAGGAAAAATAATAATAATCATCATGAAAAAAAAATGAAGAGACCCCCCCCCCCCCAGCCCCGCGGAGCGCCCCGGTTCTATGCAAGCGGGGCTCCGGGAGGGGAGGGGGGGAAGCGGGGCTGAGCCCTCCCCCCCCCCCCCCGCGGCACCCGCCCCGGCCCCGTGTCTCGCTCCGCTCCGGTTTGCCGCATTCCTCCGGTCGGAGCCACCGGAAGGCCGAGAAACGGCTTTGATTTTCCTTCTTTCTTTCTTTTTTTGTCTTCTTTTCTCGATCTTGGGTTTTTTTTTAGGGGGTTTTGGTTTTCTTATTGGACCCTGCCCGCACCCCCTTCGAAAAACCAGCATTAAATAGAGCCCAGGGAGGAGGAGGAGGAGGAGGATTTCGGAGAAAATCGAAACGAAAGGAAAAAAAAAAAAAACGTAAAAAAAAAGGAAAAAAAAAAGAGAAAAATCTGAAAAACAACAAAAAAAAGTTTTGCAAAAAAAGAAAAAAAAGGGAAAAAAAAAGAAACAAACAAGAAAAGCAAAACGAACCCACCACAAACCGTGTAGCAAAGGGGACCCGCCTGCCCGACACCAGAAGTGCTTTCGTGTTTCTGTTCCGTTTCATTTCGATTAATAAATATTTATGGCCAACGATATGCAAGACACCCCCCCCAACCCCCGCGCCGGGAGCCGCGGACACTGCCGGGGAACCGGGGACCGGGCTCGGGGTGGGGGGGGGCCCGGCCGTTCTGCATGCACCGGCCCCACCGCAGCCCGGTCCCCACCGGGGCGGCCCCGCCACAGGACTCTCCGGCCGTAAGGAGCCGCCTCCGCCGGGGCGATTCGCGGCGAACCCTGTAATTACCGAGCGTCCTTCGACGGCGATTAATAAATACTCAATGTTGACTCCGCCGCCTTCGCCGCTTTCCTTCCGCACCGCGCACCGGGGGCACCGGCCCGACCCCCGCCGCGCTGCCCCCGGTGCCTCCGCCGCTCCCACCGCCCCGAGTGCGCGGCCGTCGGTGGGGCGGCGTTGATATAACGCGGCGATGCCCCATGGGTGTCCCCCCCCGGGACCGGGGGAGGCGGTGTCCCGTCGTCCCCCCCCCCTACCTCCCTGCCAATAAAGGCACCGGGATCTGGAGCCGAGGCCCGGCTCGGTCCCGGGACGCAGCCAGCGGCCGTGACACGGCTCCGGTCCCCCGGGAGATGGAGCTTGGAGAGCGATGCCCGGAGCTGGCACCGGGCCGCGGTGCTGGTGGCTTCGGCGGGGGTGCGCGGCGGCCAAGGCCGGGTTCTTCTGTGGCGGCCCCGGTACTTGGTCAGCTCCCGGTGCCCGATGGAGCCCCGGGGGAACCTCGCTGTGGTGCCAGGTCCCGGTGCCGGTGCCCGACGGACCCAGTGCGCGGTGCCGGTGCCCGTTGCGGAGCTGTCCGCTGCGGTGGTGCTGAACGGGTGCTTGGGCCCCGCCGCCTCCCCAGCTCTATTCACCGTCCGCACCACCGGGGCTCGACGGCCCCGCTTTCCTCCCGGTCCCACAGGTTTTGGGGTAGATTTGAGGTCGGGCCGGGACTCGCCTCCAGCCCGGCCAGGCTCGGGGCCGGCACCGCTTGGGCTGGAAACGGGGAACGGCTCCAGTGCGGCCCCGACGTGCCGGGGATGGGAGAGCCAGGCACCGGGCCGGGGCGGCGGAGCGGGTCCAACCGGCCCCCTCCGAGCCTCTGGTTCCGGAGCTCTCCGAGCCCTACGGGCCGGTCCCCGGTGGTCGCCGCTCCCCGCGGAGGAGCAGAGCCTCTTCCGACGGCACCGGGAAGGGCCTCGCTTCTCCGGGGGAACGAGCCCCAAGGCGGTGGAAGGGAGCAACGGGCACGGAGATCGCGGCCCTTCTCCCGCTACCCGCGGCCGGCGGCACCGGGGCTGCGGCGACGAAGGGCGGCTGCCCCGGCGGAGGGGAGAGGACCGAGCGATGGCATGCGGGGAACCATGGCCCTGGCAATGCGGCCCCGCGCTCGGTGCACAGCCCCGGTGCTAAGCTCCGGTACAAGGCTTCGGTGCCCGGTTCCGGTGCTGAGCGGCGGCCGCCAGCGGCTCCCGAGGCAGGAGGTCGGGAGCTGCCGCCGCAACCCTCGGGGCTCTGCGTGATGGTGGGATCAAAGCCCCATAGGGCCGGAGGGGGGTGATGTTACCGAAGACCCCGCTCCACTCGACCGGGGGGACCCCGCAGTGGCGGCTCTCGGGGCTCATCCCCGTTATCCCAAGGCAGGATGAGACGGGGGTGGATCCCCCCCCCCCCGTTACCCCCAGTGCCCCCCAGTGCCCGCGGCCCTTTCCCTCTCCCTACGCGGCAGGGGCGCGGGGCCAGCGCCAGCTCCGGGTCGCCGCTGCCACCGGCGAGTGCCAGCCGGAGGGAGGGGGGGGGGGGGAGAGGAGGAGTCATTGCTTCAGTTTAAATTTCATGGCATCTGTTCATTATTATACAGTGCGGATTTTTATATGGACAGCTAAATTAAAGACAGATTTCTGCCAAAATTGCAGCTACCATAAAAAAAAAACCCACACACAACAAACCCGAGGCTCCCGGCGCTGGGCGATCGCGGCGCTGCGGAGGAGGCTCCTTTTCGGGGGCTGCCCGGGGGTCGGGGGTAAGGGGTCGGGATGGGGATGCGGAATGCTGCCCCCCCCCTTGGGTCTGTACCATGGGGACACCGGGATCCCGTCCGGTTGGAGGTGGAATGAAAGGGGGGGTCCCCTCCGCAGCGGGGGGCTGCCGAGCCGCCCCCTCCCCCGCCCGGCCTGCCAGGCTCCATCGCAGAGGAGTTAAAACAAGGACATCTGTGCCTGGAATCGTTGCGAGGCTCCAAACCTGCCAACGCCTGCTGGCACCGGCCGCCGGCAAAGCCGCTTCTCCGGAATGCGGCACCGCCGCTCTTATCCCCAGCCCAGCCCCACAGCACGGCCCGGAACAGGGGGCTCACCCCCCCCCCCCCCACCACCACCATGGGGTTGTGTGTGCAGCCCCCCAGGGCAGTGTCCCCACCGTGTCCCTGCGCTCCACAGCGTGGCTGTAACTCGGTACCACCGGAGGCTCTGTTCCTATCCCCACAGATGGGCAATGGGCGTGGGAGATGCCCTGGGGGTCCCCTAGGACCTAGGATGGGCTGGGAGGGGGGCGAGTGGTACCCAGGGGAAGGGGTCACCCAGGACTGGGGGCATCCGGGTGCCCAGGGCTCTGCTGTGCAGTCCGGGATCCCATAGCACAGAGCCCTTTGGAAAGGGAGGAACCTGCCCCCCCCCAGCCGTGCCCTGGGAGAAAAGGGGCAAAATCCAGTGGGAAAGGCTGGTTCCAGTGGGAAATGCAGGGCCAGCACTGGCCAGGAGCAGTGGAGAGCAGGTGGTGCCCACCTGAGCACCCTGAGACGGCCCTTTCCCTTCCTTTCTTTTCCTTTCCCTTCCTTCCCCTTCCTTTCCCTTCCTTTCCCTTCCTTCCCCTTCCTTTCTTTTCCTTTCCCTTCCTTCCCCTTCCTTTCCCTTCCTTTCCCTTCCTTCCCCTTCCTTTCCCTTCTTTTCCCTTCCTTTCCCTTCCCTTCCCTACCCTTCCCTTCCCCTTTCCCTGTGACCCCCATCCTGGGCTCCAGCCCCATCCCCACATCCCCTCTGCAGCCCCGGGGCTGGGGCTCCCCTCTATGACCCCCCAGCTCGATGCCCCCATGCCCGGGCCTTGCCTGGGCTCCTTCTCCCCCTGCTCGGTGCCAGGCGGTGGCTCGGTTCATATGGGAAATGTCCATTTTGTTGCTACTTAAAAGCTGATTTACAGCGGCTGCATCCCAGCCCTGCCTTGGCCTGTGTTCATCCCATAATCTGCCCATTTCTCTTGGCAGCTCCGGCTCGACTGGGCTCGCTGGAGGTCTGTGCCGGGCAGCGGGAGCACTCGGCCCCCTCCTGCGGGCCCAGCCCCTGGATCCCATCTGCTTTGGGTGGATCCTGACAGCTCCAAGCACCGGCGATGCCTCCGGTGTGCAGTGGTGGGATGGAGGGGACCCAACACCCCCAAAAGACTTGCCTGGGGCTGTGGTGCTGGAGGGGACAATGGGCAGGGGATGGGGACATGATGCTGGCACAGATAGGACACCCATTCCATCCATCTCTGCCCTGGGATGGGGATGAGGGGATCCATCCATCCATCCATCCATCCATCCATCCATCCACCCATCCATCCATCCATCCATCCATCCATCCATCCATCCATCCATCCATCCATCCCCTGTGCCCAGGCACAGCAATCAGAGCAGGGGCACAGTGGCAGGTCCCAGCCCTGTGTCAGCCAGGGGCTTGGAGCATCATCCCGCTTGTCCCATCCCTCCTCTGCCTGCTCCCAATGAAACTGTTCCCGACTGAAGATGTTGGATGTAATTGAAAGCCAAACCTTTGGAATCATCACACCGACCCAGCATCCGCTTCCCTGGAGTCATTGCAGCCTCTTCCAGGTTAGTGCCGGGCTGGATTGCGCCATAATCCCGGCAAAGCAAACAAGTTCAGAGCAAAACTAATTACATTTAGAGCAGCTGTGATAATAATCCTAATTCCACCCCATTTGGTGCCTAAAATCCGGTGATCCAGCAGCGAATGGGGTTGGTTGTGACCAGCACCCAGCCTGTCCCCTACCCTGGGTCACATCAGAGCTTTGGGGGGTCCCTTTGGCACTGTGGGGTCGCTGCCTTTGCCCTCCTCATGGCCCTACCCGACCCCATCGCCCCTCACCGGGTGCTGCCGCGGCTCTGCCCCGGTGCCCGGGTGGTGGCACCGTGCCCGGCCCCCCCCCTTCACAGCCTCCTTGGGGACACGGTGGGGGGGGGATCAGGCAGGCGCAGCTGGCGCCCATCACCGTAATGGCCACGGCTGGGCTGGCACGGCGGCCCCGCGCCTGCGGGCACCGGGCAGGAGCAGCTTGTGCCTGGTTTGTCCTTCACTAGACCCCCACAAAGCTCCCCCCCTTCCGCAGCCGAGGCCTCGCAGCTCATCACACGTGTGACAACGGTGATTGCAGCTCAGCACCGGAGGCACCGTAAACCCCAATGTGCCATCGGCCGGGCAGGACACCCCGCTGCTTCCCTTCGGGAGGGGAGAACCAGCCACCGTCGGCATCTCCTCCTGATGCTGATGGGTACCGGTTGGCACCGTCACCGGCAGCAGTGGGGCCGCGGGAGGGTATTTGCATCCTCACGGTTACCTTGGGGAGCGTTTGCCACAAAACGTACATTGGGGCTTTTTGATTCCCTTTTATTCCTTTTATTTAAAGTTGCCAAAAATTTGTGTTAGCTAATGGCTTCTTAATTCTGCCGAAAATGAGGGAAGGAAAATGATGCCATTCATCTTGTATTGGTTTGAAATCGCGGCTGACAACTAATCGATCATACTGTGGGACATTAACTCCTTTGGATGG